ACCGCCCTCACACCGCTCTGCACTGCTCTCCCCTCCCCTCACGCCACTGCCCGCCTCTCACCGCCCTCACACCGCTCTGCACTGCTCTCCATCCCTCACGCCGCTCCCCGCCTCTCACCGCCCCTCACGCCGTTCCCCGCCTCTCACCGCCCTCACACCGCTCTGCACTGCTCTCCATCCCTCACGCCGCTCCCCGCCTCTCCCCTCCCCTCACGCCGTTCCCCGCCTCTCACACCGCTCTGCACTGCTCTCCATCCCTCACGCCGCTCTCTGCCTCTCACACCGCTCTCTGCTTCTCACACCGCTCTGCACTGCTCTCCCCTCCCCTCACGCCGCTCCCCGCCTCTCACCGCCCTCACACCGCTCTCTGCCTCTCACACCGCTCTGCCCTGCTCTCCCCTCCCCTCACGCCGCTCCCCGCCTCTCACCGCCCCTCACACCTCTTCCCGCCCCTCACTATCGACTTCGTACCGCCCCTCAGACCTCTCCCTGCTCTCACGATCCCGCCCCGCCCCACCCCAATCGCTCCGAACCGCAGAAGGCGCTGGCGCCCGGCGCGGTGCGTGTGTTCCTGCGCGGTCCCGCGGTCCTGCCCGGTCCTGCCCCGCCTGGCTGCCGGCGCTCCCGATTCCTCCATGGCGCTGAGGAGCGGTGTGCCGCCGGGCCGGCGCCCTCCCGCAGGTAGGGCCGGGGCCGCTCCGGGCCGGTGTGCGGGGCTCTCCCGCGCCGTCCCACACGGATGCAGCTCCTCGGCGGAGAGGAGTGCCCATGTGGGACCGGGAAGGGTGGAGGCAGGTCTATGGTGCGCTCGCCCCGGCCGGTCCCGCAGCCGCCCCTTCACGGGTGCGCTCGGCCGGCGGGTGTGCGGCTGGCGCCGCTCGGTGATCGGCAACGTGTTATTGAGGGATAGCGAGAAAAACGGCTGTCCGTGTTCAGTGAAATAGCTGTGTTTAATGTTACAGCCGTATCCCTCGCCTCCTGTAGCAACGTAAAGAATTTACTTCCCCTCCACCAAGCCCCCCTTCCCACCTCACAGAGACAGATCTCTCTGTGAGGAAACCTTCCAGCCTGCTGTTCCAGCCGCCGCTCTGCCTGTGTGGCTGCTCTACGGATGTAGTGCCGGGGTTTTACGGATGTAGTGGCGAGTGTAGTGGCGCCTGTGTTTGTTAGGGGAGCGTGTAAATGCATACAGCGTGAGAAGCTCGTGGGCCGCCCCGGGAGCTGTGCGGAGCTGTCTCTCAGACACCCCAGTACGTGAGCTGTGTCCCGTGTCCTGGGGCACACGCAGAGATGCTGCGCGCTCAGCCTTCGGAGCTGGGGGATAGTCACTGCAAGGACAGCCACTGCAGGCTCAGCCTTTGATACTTGAGGAACCGTCACGACAAGCTTTAAACCAGTTGGGACTTCCCCTCGGTTTATTAGGAGCAGTTAGTGCCTGAGGAGCACACACTTGTGTGTCTCCCTGTATCCCATAAACTGTTTGGTTTTCTTGGAAATATTTTTTTTGTTTGGAGTGGTTTTTTTTTAGTATGCTTTTACATGAATTTGGGATGTAAATAATTTTTTTTTCATCTTGTCTCTAGTCCATTCCTGGACTTTTGTGTGTGTGGCAGGGAAGTTGAGCTGTACCTGAAAGGGCCTTTAAACCACTGCAGTCAGTGACCTGAAGCAGATACTGGTCTTTATGAACTTGCATGATAATAAATTGCAACTTGTAGACTTGCATGTCTGCAAGTCTTGCTGAAGCTTATGAGTGACTGCAGTGGGGACCAGCTTGGCCGAGGAGTGGAAGTAGCAGAGTAAGTGGTTTATTCTGACCAGTATTCAGACAAACTGTCTTTGTTTTCACTTGGGTTTGTTTTTATGTTGCTTCATTGTTCGGGGTTTTTTGGGGTTTTTTTGAGAGGAGAGCATATAAGGGAGTGTGACTTCTTACTTTCTTGTTTTATTTTAAAAACACATGGTATTTTAAAAATGGAAATTAGTAAAGATTTTGTCACTTAACTGTTAGATTACATGGCTAACAGATCACTTATAAAAATCAAAAAATTGAAGTCTATTAAAAGTTTGACATACCTCTCTCTTGCTGTGGAAAGCAAATTACAAAACAGCTTTGTGGTGCATCCCAGATGCATCTATGTTTAACTCTTCCCCCATCATAGATGTGTGTGAGCAGTTGGGACAGCTGTTCCTAGAGGCTAGTTTCAAGTCAGTGCAGAGGTGGAAAGGAAGACGGGTTGCTTTTAATCATTATAGATAACATTGTTTTGTGGGCCTATTGGTAATAGACACAATTCCAGACTGTCCGTGTTTCAGTATCTCTTCCCACGCTGGATATTTCTCTCCACCTCTCCTGGCTCCCCTCGTGTTTTGTGTAAAATGTTAAAATGTCTGCCTCTGTCTGGATCTCCTTGCCCTGCCAAATTAAAACTAAAAACAATGCTTTTATCTAGAAATTGCCAATCCTGCATGTGAGGGAAAGTCCTAAATCAAAAATTGCAGGTCTAGATTCAGTTACCTTTTTTTTTTACCTAATTCCAAAATTTTAGTAGATTCCCTGTTTGTTGTTTGACTGATTCCTAACAAGACAAGAGCCTAACAATCTGTGGGAGAACATAACTTTTGCTGGTGTTCTGGATGAATTTATATAAAGAAAAATTATGTCAGGAAGATCTCTGAGATCCTGTAAGATGCCAGGGCTTTTTTTGGATGGCCTGGTTTGTTGTTGATACTTGGTTTGTGGTTGTTTGGTTTGGTTTTTTTTCTCATGCTAGCTAGTTGAGTAATTCCAGAAACCTTTCCCTATTCTCTCCCTCCCTCAAATTTAAACTCTAGCCTTGATTGTTCATGATCAGTATAAGAGTCTTGCTGAGAGGTGAAGCAACTTGCTCAATAGAATGAGAAAAGAACACTAAGGTTGTTCTTTCTTACTTACAGTTTTAAAACTTAAAATGTTCTCCTGAAGAGGGAGAAAGTATTTCTTTCAACAGAATCTTTTAGATAACTTAATGTGTTCTTTGTTCAGAATTCAATTTTCAGACATGCCTCAGAAATCAAATTGCTGTTGTTAAGTCACCTGTAGCTTAATTAGTACTAATTGGTTTTGTGATTGACAGATATGTTAATATAATATAATTAAACATGTTGGAACATAAGTACAAGATGAGTATACATCTGGTTCTTATCTGCATTATTAAATTTATTCTGGCATACCCTGAACTGATCATGAAACCCTTATTGCTGTTAGTCGCATTGTTCAAAAACCTAAAAGTGTTCAGATGGTGGTTTGGTTTTCTTTTTTTGTTTTTAAAATACAAATCTGAGATGTAATAGTTTCTGGGGAAGAATGCATATTAACATAGTAAGGTGTTAAGGTTTAATACAGTTAGTGGTGCCTGAAACTGCTCTGATTTCTTGATTTATGGTATCTGGAAGTTGATTTGAGTCTGCTGTGACACAGAATTTTGAAGCCTTTGGCTACTCCTGTGTATGTGTGTGTACAAGGAAAGCATGGAGCCAATTACTGAAAGATGATTTCCGGTTAATGGTTATCTGGGGTAAAAGTACTCTCTTCTTGTGTATGTAATGTGGTATGTAGTTCTGTAGGTATTTTTACTTATATTTCACTTTCTTCTTGCAGTTAAAGCTGGAGGTATGAGAGTGTCTAAAAAGCAAGAAAATGGACCTGTTGAGAAAAATGCTAAACTTCTAGGAAAAGAAAAGTCAAGGTATTACAATGCAGGGCCTGTTCACCCCTGCCCTGAAGTCCAAGTTGATAAGTAATGATCTTTGAAAACAGAAAACTCTTATTCTACAAGAGCTTAATTCTTAAATTATCTTGTGCAATGTGTAGATAAAATAATACAGATATTGAAATAAGTATTGACTTAAAAACCCCCAAACCAAACAACTTCAGAACCCAAGGATAATGCCTTGCAACAAAAAGCAAAGGCTGAATCTCATCTCTCTTGTCATGTTTTATGGAACAGAAATTAAAACAATGTATTACATACCTGTGCCTAATAAAGGAATGGTCAAACAGTTTCTGGTGAAGTAGGAATGAACTTTATATTGTCCACATTCTGAAGGAAATTAAACCCACATCAACTACCCCCAAGGAAGAGTCTTATCTCCTGTATAGGCTATACCTCCTATTTCAATCTAAAATCTAATTTGGCTTTTGCTGTTTGCTACTTTACAAGGTTAACCAAGCTGGTTTGCCCTAAAAATGAAGGCATACTTCTATTTTGAATAAAGTAACAGCAACCAGTTGATGTGGTCATTAAAACAAGTATTTTCTTGCAGCTTTTTCAAAGACTGAACATTTTTCCTAAATACATGCACTTTTCTTAAATGTCACTTAACAAAAAGTTAAGTTAACCAATATAAAAATATGACAGTAAAATTTGAATGTCTTGTGATGTTCCTGAAATTTTTGATTTTTTGTTGTTTTCTACTGGGATTAGAAGCTTTTTATTTTCACTTGTTGCCAATTGTCTGGGTGTAATTTTGCAGCTGTCTTTCCCATAGTCATAGTTACCTAATAATATAAACAGATCTTAAATAACTTATATTTGTCAGTGTAGCAAACTGTCAATTGCTAAATTGAAATATCAGTAAGAAGTGTCTTGCCTAATCCACAGAATTATTAACTTAATTTAAACAATATCTGCTTTTTCAAGAGTCACGTTTATGGTATTTGGGATTTAAAATTATTTTTCCCTACTCCGTTTTAAGCTACACATGTGTCAGTGGATATAATGGTATCATCAGAAGAATCTTCTGATTCTGGAGTTCTTTCTATTGCTGAAGTAAATTATTTCATATCCACAGATTTGTTTATTTGTGGAATATTGGCAACATGGTGTTATTCATTGGAATATGGAGAAGTTAATAGGATAATCTTGGGGAAAAAAGAGTTCTTGCTTGAGAAATAGTTGCTGTGAAAGGAAACTCTCCAAAACCAGAGGGTGAATTTTTTTCATGGGTCTAGATTGGAATAAAGAAAATGTTTTGTAAATCAGGATATAACCGCTCAGCTTCTGAGAAGCTATTTCACAGTGTACAAAAAAAAAAAAATCCTTTTTGAGATATTCAAGGATATTTAATATACAATTTTTTGTATATCTAAATAAAACAGCCTGTCATAGATTTTCTGTTGTTCCATTCTGAAACAGCATGCTTTTTTTGATATTACATAGTTTTTGACATGATGAAAAGATTTAGCTCCAAACCGTAAATTTATTTGCAAAATGTTTTGTATTAAGTCTGGAAAATGAAAGTGACAAATGCTCGTGTGTTTCAGTGAGATGAAAATGCTAAATACTTTTTTCTTCTGCTTTACAGTGCTATTGTCAGTTTTGCAAAACCTCAGAACATGGGTGTCTTGGTAGCAGAAACACTGAACAAAGTAAGTCTGAAAGAAAAAGTCAGGTTTCTTTATAAATCTAACCATGAAAAAATGTTAAAAAGTGAAATTTCCTTAAACTAGTGTGTGGCAGTTGCAGGTGTTTCGTTGGCCACTAAGTGTTCTTGGGATAACCTATTTCTGTAGTGGTTGTGTGTCTGAGCTGCTAGATGGCTAAAAAGTACCTGGCCTTCTGTCCTTACTCTGGTTCCACTCCTACTTACTGCAGCATGCCCTGGGTAGTTGTGCACACCTGTGCAGAGAAGCACAGCCAGGCAGTGGGCTGTGTCCTGCTTGTAAAGTGGCATGGTGCATTAGCTTTACTGAAATATGGGGAAGAATTACCAGTGGCATCTAAGTGTCTGGCCAAGTTGGGATAACAGTGCAGGGCAAAACCTTGTCTTTATCCCACTGTGGAAATCACGCTGACTCCTATAAGGGTCCAGCAAAAATACAGAGCTGCTTGAGGGAGGTGGGTGGCATGACTGGCAGGTGCAAGGAACACCAGGACAGTGATCCAGTGTCCTGCTTTGTGAATGATCCCCAAGACAACACACACAGCATGTCCTATTGCTGCCCCAGATTTTGCTGTTCCATCTGAGGCTTGACATCACTCAGTCAAGCAAGCACCTTTTGACTGCTCCCTTAGGAATACTACGGGATCCTGTAAAATCTTGTATCCCACAGTGGCTAATGGACCCTTCTGTTTATCACATGCTTACAGCTCCTATCCTGTGTTGTATTAGGCTGTTTGTGCAGACTTACACCTGCCCTTTGGAAGAGCTGATTTCACAAGCAGCTCTTTGGTTTGCATGGTAGTCCAATCTGACCGTTATCATCTCTTTGTTACACACTTGCAGTCTTCAGACTCTGAAGCATACAAGATTTCCTCATCTTTAGAGCTCAATAAAACATCTCTTGCATAATTTCAACACAAGCCTTTTATCAACAGTTGTGTTTATACATTTAGCCTGTAAATCTTGAATATTTGCTTAGACTTTACGGAGAACAGATACAACTCATCCTCTTTCTGTTCCACCTGTCCTCATCTCCTCTGTTCTGACCCACCATTTCCTTCTCCTGTTGGTTTCCAGAATATATGAAGCTTCCTTGCTACTTTAGACTGTGATAGTTAGCTATTGTAATAATGATGATTTTGAACATGGGAAAATAAGAATTTGATTCAACTTGCTGTAAACTGTGGCATACTGATTATTTGCTGTGTTTTCCTTATCTTGGAAGCTCATTCTATGAGCTCCTAAACAAGGGAAGAAAAAAAATCAAATATTCCCTAAAGGTAGTTAGACTAATATTGTTTTGAAAACAGAAATTATAACTAAATATATTGAGCTACCATGAGTTCTGTGTATTGATCACTTAAACTTTTTGTGGGTTTAGGTTTTACTGCTCCTTTTAAACTACTTTAATAGGATAAAATTTAGAAAGAGAATAGCTGAAAATCTGTATTCTATCACAACTTTTTTCTCCCCCCTTTAATGTTACAGATGAGCCACAAAATCCATGCAGCAACACTACAAGTAGCTCACCAAAAGCCACAACCTACCTTGGAGAAGTTCATACTGCCTAAAAGAATTTACATTATTCAACAGCCACGGAAATGTTAAGATAATCACTAAAATACTTATGTTTACTTAAAAGTGAGTTTCTATTCTATATAGCACTTAGCACACTGTGGTGAAGTGTTCAAAAGCTGTGTGCTTTGTAACTTGCTGTGTTTCTGTTACTGACAATAAAATATAAGAAGAGTTACTAAATGTACTTGGGATTTATTACAATATTATGGCTTCTGTCTAACCTGGTATGTAGTAATTACTCAATGCCAAAAAGTCTAAGTTTCACTTACTGTGTGAGCTTTGAGTGAAGTACTGGGGCTGGAAACTCTATTGTTTTGGGTTTTCTTAATTTAATGGTAGCAAAGCTGATGTGAACTTGATTCTAAGAAAGCATGACTGAAAGACGTAGGGCTTCTTTCAAGTGAGCCTGAGGTTTTCCATGCTGAATGCAGGCCTGAGGCTTACTGCATGATAGTAATTCACAAAGTCCTGTGAAGGATTTCTGTCAATGAAAGAAGTATTTTTTGCTTGTATTTCTTTCTGTGAGAAACCCCAACTCCTCTGCAGAGGTCCAGAAGTGCTGAGTGGAAACAGTCTGTTTGAACCTATTTGGGGCTGGAGTGGATAAGTGAAGGAAGTACCTGACTTGGAGCTGAACCCTTGGCATAGCAGGGCAGGTAGCAGGGAGGAGCCAAGGTGCAGAGAATTCTGTGACTGCAGTTTGGACTTAGACTTGGTAAAACGGTGTATGAGACTTAGCACTGCCTGGCAGTAGTAGGGTCACGAGGGATCAAGCTTAAAAATGGGGAGGAATGAGTGTAAATCTGAGTCCAGGCAATGTCCTTGAGCCATGACCTGCTTGCAGTAACAGCAGGGACAATAGAGAGCCAGGGGATAATACTGTCCTGCTGTTGGGAGTTGGTTGTGGAGCTCCACTGACTCAGAATGTAATTGACTATTTTTTTTTAGTAGTGATTGCAGAAGAGTATTGTCCCAAAATGGATTCTTTCACCCTTTTGGTGTGCAAGAAATTGATCCCCACACAGAGTGGAGGTTTTTGATTTGTTTACAGTTGTAGGCAGAAAGGGGTACTGGGTGGTGAATTGTCAGAGCTAGCATGGAGACAGACCAAGGTAGGCACACCTATAGGTTACACTCTCAGGCCAAGCAGATCTTACTTCACTCCATGGTTAAATTGCTGTGAGCTTCTCTCTGTTTCAGTCTCAAGGTATAGTGTCCCAAGAAGTCATGGTATGTGCTTAGTGAGCAGTGGGCTCTTGGTGGGCAGAGGGGGCTGAGCTGGAGATGTGGCTTTTACTGTTATAATTATGATCTAATGACAAAAGTTCATGGCAAAGGCAAGTTCTCACCAGAGAAACAGTCAGACCTGGGGGTTTGATGGCCCGTCATATAAGGTCCTGAATGAGAAGGGTATGATCTTTTTATTCCCTCCCCTTCAAGGACCTAGGACATCAGTTTTCTGTTTTCTACGTTCCTGTGAATGTTGCTCCCATTGCTTAACTGCTTTGTTCTCTGTCTTATTATTTGGAACTTTGTTCCTGTTATTCATCAGTTCCCACTTTCATACTTATGATGCTTCTTATAGATATCGTAAGTCTCACTTTGGAACCATCACATATTTTCCTAAAAGGAATCACAGGACTGACAGGAAAATCAATTGCTTCATGATTTCCCAAATGCAAATACACAGTGCCACAATTAAGACAAAGCATAATAGGATTAGTATTACGAGAACAACAAGGTAAAATATCTAGTTTAAACTCCCTGTAGTGATAGTAAGTGACCACCTGAAAAGTGTCCTACCACCCCTGTGCTCTATCTCACTTCACTTGTTCCAACCCTTGTGTGCTTTCCACATCATGATGGTCAGTAATCAAAGTATTTTATCCATTCTTCTGAGTTTGTTACAGCAGTTGTTGCAGATCATCATGCTATAATAATTTTCTTACTCAAGTGAGATTCATCCCAACAGAGGTGAGCAGCAGATCTTGAATCAGTATATAATTATACTGCAATGACTGATATAACGTGACAGGAGCTGAATAATTGAAATCCCACCCATTCATTTTGGTGAAATTGCAAACACAAGCATTAGAGTAATTATCTGTATCTACAATAAGGTTATCTACAAATATGAAGCCACAAATTGTTCTCATATAAGCACATTGTTTTCCAGTATATAAAATTACAGATTCATGAGCTTCATCAGGATGGATTTCAAAATGACAAACACTATTCTGGATCCAGACAAATGTCAGGGCTTTGGTGTGAGTCCCTGCTCCCATATAGTGCATGTGCTAGCACTGATGGTTTGCCATTCCCCATGGGCCTATGTCCTTTGCTCCAGGGTAGGGTTCAGTTATGATTCAGGCCTAGTGCAGTGACTGAGTGATGGACACCAAGGTTCCTGTATGGATTAGTACTGTGCTATTGATGGTATTATAACTGAAAAAATGCCACCAAGGCTGGAATTCCTTTGCAAATTCAATCATTATTCCAAATCACTTTTTAAAGTTCAGTGGGTGAAGGTGCCTTCTTCCCTTTCTGTTAAAATTGCTGTGGCTGATGTTGATTGTATCCACAACTGAGCTCAGATGTAGCTAAGAGAAAAAGAGCCTTTGTCTTTGTTTGCACCAAGTGCCTCTGGGATCAACTATGAGCTCGCTTATTGATTCTTTCCCACTGAGGCAATGTGTCAGATAAGAGCCATTGATTAGTTTCTAATACTGGTAGAGAAGACCACAGACGGTGTTGCAATTTGCTTAAATCACTTGTGGTTGTGCTCAGGTTATTTATAAGTACTTCAGCATCTGTACAATTCAAAACTCCCTGTGGTCCCTGTGGTTCCAGTCACAATCCTCCTTATTCCTTTTGGAGAAGTGGGGCTTTGCCCGTGTAGCCAAGCTAACTGTCTTGCGTGAGAAGCACTTAAGGATGATGACCACATTGGTTTAAGTAAATAAATATTAATCTGCCTTACTAGTTCTATTTGTTTAAGAAACCAAGGTGGATTAAACAGCATTTGTTGCTGATCTGCATTTTTGATCACATGGTCTAACTTCAAAAATTTGTGGGGATTGAATTTTCTCATCCTCTTGGACTGGAGCAGATGTAATTGTTTTGGTTTCAGTAATATCTACCTTGAGTTTAAATGTTAGTCACGCATTATGGTGATCCCAAAGGCATAGAACAAAAACAGGTTTAACCAGGGTAACATTATACCAACAATCCCACCTTTTGGTGGCACAAAATTTTGAGTCTTTTGCACATGATTATGTTGTACTAGGAAACATTGAAATCTGAGTGGCTTTCCCATGTGTAGATCTATTGATAATTTTGCAGCATATCTGAATTTTTTCTTGGGTTGTTACTTTCAAGAGAGGAACCCAACTATACTGTCTGGCAAGACCGTGTCTGTGGGCAAACAGGAGTTCTGCAGCATGGGCTCAGCCTGTGTATGTGAACTGCATCAGTCTGCCCAGCCCAGCCAATGCAGGTGTGCCTGCAGCAGTACCTGGGCTCCTGCGCAGGAACACTGCTGCAGGGTGCTGTGGGAGTGCCCAACGGCCTGCCAGAGAGCAGGCTGGAATGGAAAGGACCTTCCAGGAGCTATCTGGGTAAAACTTCCACATGTAAAAACAGGTCCAGACAAGAACCTAGGAGCTCTAGTTTTGATAAAGTTTGTTTTATGGGTTTGCTAATCGTAGAGCAGGTGCAATCTCCTCTTCTGCTATAAGAAGGGAATCCTGGCAAGTGTTCTGTTCCATGTCCTGCTCTGTCAGCTGGTGCCCAGTTTGTGTTTGCACCATCCTTGGTGATACTGTGGTAAGGCTGTTGTGCCTTCTGTTGCAGGCAGTTTGTTTTATTTAGTTCGAGCCGTAACACTTAACTTGCATTATTTAAATATGAATTGCCACCAAATTCAGCACATAAAGAACAAATACAGTAGGCTTGCTAGAAAAATAAAACCCCTGCAGGAAGACTGTTTTCAGGCTTTTCATGGACTATTTCAAACAATGCAGGCATTCAGTGAGAAGGACATGATTTCAAGAAAGTATTTCTGCTGCTGATCTTCATTTCACCATATTGGAGGACAAAATATCGGTTAATATGCAGTTGTTATTAGCTGTAGCCCTCAAAACACAGAGATGGAAAGCCAAGGGACAATGAAAGCTGTGGAAAGAGTTTTTAGTGCATGTTGGTTGGTTCAATATCTTTGTCAGCTTGGTAATGTCACATGTGCTGTTTGATGGCCTGAGACACATGTTCTGTTGGACTTCTCTGCAGGGAGGAGTTTCCTCTGGGGCAAGGAAGAGTCTCTACCTTTAAGCACTTGGTGCTCCTACGTTGGGCGGTGCTGGACAGAGCTGCTTGGGAATTGGGAACTGTGCAGCTTGTCACTGGTCTAGCAGGAGCTACAGGATATGCTGTTCAGTGCACAGACCAAGACAAAGGGATTCCTGACTTTTGTGTAAAACTGCAGCAGATGAAATGGCAAAGAAATTACACATGGTGAGACTGGGAAGCTGCAATAAAAGAGAACTACAGCACAGACTTTATTTTAATAAACAAATATTAGCTGTTGTGTAAAGCCTTTGTGCGTTCCAGGATGTACTTGTTCAACCTGTTCCTCTCTAAGTGGTATGCATAAATCTTCAAATCATTTCAAGCACATTAAACTCTGCCTGGCATATCAGCCCCAAAAGTCCTGGTAAGTGGTGCATACATAAGCCAAATAATTTCCTGAATTTACTTTAATTCTAGGATAGAAGACTTTATTCCTACAATGTAAAAAAAAAAACAAAAACAAAAAACCAAAAATAATTCCCAACAAATTCAGTGGTCTAATCAGTGTCATCTGCCATACTTATATTGTTTCTGCTGTGTGCAATTCCCACACCATATACCCAGGAAGGCACTCTTGCTTTGGAAAACCTTGCTGTTGTTGAGGACCCTTGTTTTCACATGTTGTCATTCCTGCTCTTCCCTCCTTGCACCTTCTCGCTGCCCTTTCCCCCTCAGCCTGCACAGGACAGCCAGCTGGTCAGGTGGCTGGAGGAATGTGTACTTTTATAGTATGTTTATGATTCTTGTCATATATGGCCACAGATTGTACTCATGGCCATTATGTCACTCTTGCTCAATTTTAATGAAAAACTTCTAGATTATATTATTAGCAG